CTGACATGGATGATGTTGATCGAGTAGACCAGCCTCCCAGTCAGCCTCACCGAGAGCTCCCCCACTTGTCTATCGGGACGCACGTTGACATTCAGCACCCGAAGACAAAACGGTGGTCTTCCCGCGGCGTTGTCGTGGCTATCGGTGACCACCGCGACTACTACGTCAAGCTACCGAGTGGACGCGTATATTGGCGCAACCGTCGCTACCTCCGCCCGTACCGTCCTCCTACTCCAGCTTCAACAGCCATGCCTGCATCGTCTCCCGCACCCGACGCTGCACCACAAGCAGTCCCTGTGACTCAGTCGTCGCCACAGTCAACTGTTCAGGTACCACCTCGAACAAGCCAACGTCCCCGGCGACAGAATGTCCCCTTTAACATTATTTCAACGCGTGGACAATCGTACAATTAACACTCGCTCTGTTCAGTTGTTGATGTCCATTGTACCTATTCAATTGTCATTCCCATTGTTTCGCAGTTGAAAACCTTCATGTATATAATTTTTGCAATTATCCCTTTTACAAGTCTGTTGGAAGTTGCTGCTGCTCCGCGACATGTCATTTGCTACGCACATGCAATTTTCACAATATTTTTTGTTGATTAGATAAACACTTGTACGTTTTTATCTTAGGAGGGGCATGATGTATATGGCATACTTCCGTATATGGTGCAACTCCCGCACCCCGTATGCACCCGCCTAGAGCTCCTGCTTCCATATGCGCTCGTACACACTTTCCTTGGTGTTCGTACACACTTCCCTTTTGTGTTCGCACACTGCTTGGAATGTTGTTCTTCGTTTGTTGTCCTCCTTGCTAGTTGTGAATAAACTCTATCTGACACCACAGGTTATATGGAGCGCTGTATCGTCCGCGTAGAGTGAGGTATGATCCAAACCTTCCAAATCGTTAACGTATACGATGAACAATAGAGGCCCCAAGATAGAGCCCTGGGGCACTCCAATATGGACTGTTAGAGGGGCGGACAGGGCATGTCCAATTCTGACACTCTGTCGACGTTCAGTGAGATAGCTGGTGAGCCACTGCAGACACGTCCCGGCTACGCCAAACGCTGCTAACTTATGGAGGAGACCCCTTGTCCAGAGAGTGTCAAATGCTTTGCTCAGGTCGAAAAAACATAGGAGGCTAAATTGCTTCTGATCCTTGCATTCATATAGCTTCTGCACCAGCCTCAGCAACTGCCAGGCGGTCGAATCGCCTCGCCGAAATCCAGACTGTGACGGGTCAAGGACCGGGTTCACATGTTGGTATAAGTGGCCAAATGCCACACGTTCACAGAGCTTTGAAATGGTGGAAAGGAGTGAAATCGGCCGGTAATTGGATGCAGACAGTTTACTGCCTTTATTCTTGTAAATAGGCACAACCACAGCTGCCTTCCAGACATCAGGGAAGATTCCAGTGGCGAAGGACTGGTTGAAAACTAGGCTGAGAGGGATAGCTATACTAGGAGACAGGGCTTTTAGGAGTTCATGGAATATGCCATCTGCACCTGCCGCCTTCTTGGGCTTTAGGCGACGGATGTGTTGGGCAATGGCGGTGGGAGTAGTGCTGAAAGAGGGTAGTGCTGGGAGCCCGTGGTATGGAATACCAGGAAGAGACCATGCAGGATCATCCGGTGTTCCAAAGCTGATGAATTGGCGATTCAGAGCCTTGGCAATCTGGGTAGGGTCGTTGTGTACAGTGTTATTTTCATGGAGTTCAGTGATGATAGGGTTTCCAACAGGGGTCGGCGAACGAAGCTGCTTTTAAAACAAACTTGAACAAACTAGGGGTGGATGCAATAATGGATGAGGGGTTAGTGGTAATGGAGGACACATACTGACGGTGAGCCTCTCTAGATAGGATTCGTGCTCTGTTACATTCGCACTTGTAGTGCTCCTGATTGCTAGGGGTAGGATACTTGCGATACAAGCTGTACGAGTATTGCTTCCTCTTCAGCTGAGCTTTAACAGCACGTGTCAGCCACGGGGGACTTGGTGTACGTCGTCTAGGGGCTGAAGAGCGCGACCGGGTGGGTAGGAAAGCGGAGCATAGACCATGAAGGATGTCATAAAATGCTGGAGCAGTACGGTTTGGATCTCCAAGCTTCAACTGGAGAGCAGCATGCCAGTTCACATTAGCAATGGATTCATTTAGAGCAACAAGTTGAGTGGGAAGAGTGGAGTGTGGTGTGGAGGAGATGTCAAACTGACTGAAATTAGGTATCTGGAAGGAATGGGAGGGCAGTGTAGTGTTGGGTGCAGGTGGTGATGCGGTACATGTCAGGATGCACAAACGGCCGAGAACAATTGAGTGGTCCGACTGACCGAGAGGGGCTGAGGGGCGCGGATCGCAGATGCTGGCTGCAGTGTCAGTGATCATCAGGTCCAGAGCAGCCTCATTGCCTTTGTGGGAGCGGTGGGTCGAGAATGTGACATTGTTGCTGCAAAGAAAACATGTCAAGAAGACATGAAAGGTGGTGGCCTGCAGTGTCTGTTGTTGTTCCATACCAGGTGGAACATTTAGCATTGAAATCTCCCATGATGAGGACTGGCGAGCCAGGGGTCCGTATTTTAGTCAAGCAGCTTTGAAATGAGGCGTAAAAGTTATGTATCACCCGCGGGTCGGTAGACGGTGGGGGGTAGACAGCCGCAATTTGGATGGGCTGCTGACGCGTGGGGCAAGCAGAGGTTCCAGTGGATGGCGATATCTCTACCCAGGTAGCTTCGAATTGCGGAAGATGTAGGTCTGTACGGTGGGTAATAGGACCAAATGCACTTGATTTTACTAAGATAGCAACACCGCCATAGGCCAGGAAGTCGTTGGCGTTAATTTTATTGTCGGAGGTGGGTCGATCCCTTCGAAAACATTCATAGCCTGGGAAGGAGAGGGACATTTGTGGACACAACCAGGTTTCAGTTATGCAAACAACAAGGGGACAGCTGGTCGTGAGAAAGTCGGATAGCTCAGCAGATTTGTTTCTAAGGGAACGTGCATTGATGCAGGCTACGGGAAAGGAGGCTAGGGGCGTTGAAGGATAGAAGGGTGTTGCGTTAGGGCCAAGTTGAAGTCTTGGTTTACTCATTTTTCAGATTCAGCCTAAAGAGAACAAATTCTGCTGTCATCGCCAAACTACAATGAAGGCATACAAGTTTACCAAAAAATAATTTTCTTGTCACATTCATCAGTGGAAAGTCGTGACTGAAGAATAACCATGCTGAACAATGATTAAAAACACATTCAATAATTTGTTACGAGAACAAAATAAAGTGCTAAAATAGAATGAGGGAGGGTGAGACAATAGAAGTGAAGTGAGAGCCAAGTGCAACGGCGGGTGAGAAACTAATTGTAACTCTAGAACTGTGTAGTGAGACAAACAATAATGCTGTGCACCTACGAAAACAATCTTAATGCAACTACACGTTTCTTCTGCTTACAAAAATCAGGCTTGAGCAAACGAATACAAACAGCCTCAAATACTTTCAGCTGACTACGGATATGCAGTTCCAGGTCAGAGACACTCTTATGTAGCCAGGTCTCGGATACGGCTAGTATATCCAGCTGCTGTTCTATCATTATACTTTCAACTTCACCCAGTTTGTGGCGTAGACTGCGTAATAATTATACTATTTTGATGTGGCCAATGTTAAGTGTACTACTGTGCTGGGTCAGGTGGTGGGTGTGTGGGTGAAACGGGGCGGCGTGTGGATTAAGCTTCATGCTGATCCGATTGGTGTGTTGAGCATGCGGGTTCAAGGGGAGTGGGTCGGTGGTTTGAGCCATTATGCTTTAACGGGTTTGGGAGCCCAGGCCTCTGTACCAAATCGCCACTCTCTTACAGTACGGCCAACTTCGTCAGGAAGGAAAGATTCTTCCGCGACCTTCTTGGCGTCCGTGACCAAGACTGTAATACGAGCAGAGGCTGTTCTAAAGTGCACGGAGGTGTACACGACGCTTTGTACTACAGATACACCTTGTGCCTTGCAGTGTTCAGCTAGTGAATACGCATCGCAGTCCGGGTCAACATTTCCAATGCAGTACACCGTCACGCGGGGTCGTCCTACGAGTCCAGGTGCACTCTTGGGTGTTTTCGGTGCTGTGTACCGTGTGACAATATGACAATGTGTGTAGTGTGACGATACAATGTGTGTGTAGACAAACATTACGATTATGTATTTGTTGTGGTGACATCTGTCATCAGTGTGTCATGCCTCTTACCTCATTGTAGCTTCATCCGTAGTCCGCTTCCATTGTCCTTGTTCTACATTCTATTCTATTTCTTCTAGTGCTAGTCGTTTCACTTCTCATCTTTCCTTGAAGTAGTATATTTAAATTGTAATTGTTTTCCTGCAACGATCGCTTGTTGTGTTATTTATTTGCGTCTTGACTTCATTATTTATTTTGCCAGCGCCTGCAAGGCTGCATGCGCATGCTAGATTCTGTGTTCACGCGTGACTAATGATGTCATCGCTATGCCTTTGCTTGCTGCGAGTAGTCGCGTAGCTGGTCTTGTTGTTTTCTTTGCTTCGTTCGAGTTGCTGTTGCTCGACTTCGTTTTCTGATCTATTTTCTGCATTCAATGGTTGCCGTGATGGCTGTCGCTGCAATAGCAGCTTCAGCCACGACGAGCCTCTATCGGTTGCTCTGCCGCCATGTTGGCCGCCATGTTAGACGTGTCTTTTCCTGGCTGAAGTGCTCGTGATTTTGTATTCTTTTCTTGTTCTCTCTCCTTTTCCTACTTGCATTTTTCGTTATACATACATTTCCACCAAGAGGCTGCCGTTTGCGCTGGTGTGTTGTGTTGGGTGAAGAGGGGTGATAGAGAGACTAGATAGCTCCAGTTCTCCCACAACTTTGTGGTGCTGAAACCCGGGAAAGAGTCGGGAAAGTGTTTTCGGAGTACGAGTGTCGTTGTGATTTATTTATTTTGTGAGACGAGAGTTCTTACTGTGAGTTCCTACTGTGAGTTCCTACTGTGTGTTCGTGGAATACTCGAGTGAATCATGTCTACCAAGTATCTTGTCCAGCCGTTTTCTGGCAAGGATGGTGAAGACCTAGAGGAATTCTGGGCAAATTTTTTAGTTTTGGCCACTGCCAAGGAATGGTCCGACGAAGATGCACGCATGCAACATCTACCTTTATATTTGCAGGGCGATGCATTTCGAGTGTTTGCTCGTATGGCAGAGAGTGACAAAAGCAAACAAGCAGAGGTCAAGAAAGTTTTAGTGAGTGCGTTCAGTGTGACGCCGTCCAGAGCGTATGATTTGTTCAAGCGCCGTTGTTTGCGTGTGGATGAAAGTGTCGACGCGTATGTGGCCGATTTGCAGCGTTATTCAGCGCTGTCGGGGCACAAACCGGGTGGTGCCGCCAGCAAGGATCCGATCGTGATCGAGCAACTGATCGCTGGCCTACAGCCCGAATTTGGCCGCCAGCTGAGAATGTCGCTGGCTGGCCAAGAGCTGACGATACCTGCGTGTCTAGAGCGTGTGCGTGCGCTCAGAGCCAGTGTCACCGATGCTTGGTACACAAGCAGGTTCAGCCAGAGCGTTTCTGCTAGTGCCAGTACCAGTAGTTACAGTGGAGGTGTACACCGACCTCGCAGTACTGTTGTCTGCTATAACTGTAATCAGCCTGGGCATGTCCAGCGTAACTGCCCAGAGTTCAAGAAGAAGCAGAAGCCCCGTTTCAGTGGACCACTAGTGTGCCACTTTTGTGATCAGCCTGGTCATGCAAAGCCAGCGTGCCCTGAGAGAAGGAAGTGGCGAGAAGCCAAGGCAGCAGAACGTGTGGCAGCTGCTGGTACGTCGCATAGTAGCAGTGACAAGTGCCTGTGTGCGGTGTCCACTGAAGCTGCCCCCTTGCCGAGGATCTATGTGGACGTGGAGTCGGCCAAGCCGGATGACTGGTGGCGTGGAGAGGCCATGCTGGACACCGGGTCGGCTCGCACGCTAGTGTCGTCTGGCTTTATACGTGCGGCTAAGATGCGCAGCCAAGTGTCGGCGGTAAAGCAGGAGAAGCTCCTCGCCCTGGATGGCGAAGCCCTGCCGATTTCGGGGTCAATTTCACTAACGATTCGTCGCCTGGATGGACCCGTAAATTTGCCACCTACCCGTGTTGTTGCGTTTGTAGTTCCTGAGCTGTCGGTTATTAATGCTGACCTGTTGCTGGGATCTGACCTTGTCCGTGCCATCGGTGGCGTCAGGTTGCAGTACTCTGAGTCAGGTGATCTGCGGTCCGTGTTGTTTGGTTCGTCAACCGCCAGTAACCCTGAGCCTGTGTCGTCTGTCGTTAGTGATGCTCTGCAGTCGCCGGATCAGCACCCGTCTCGGCATGTTAGCGTGGTGCAAGACGGTGAGGACGTGACGCTATCTGTTGAGGATGGTCAGATAAAGTGGCTAGCAGCTGAGCAGTGTTGGCAGGCAGCATGGAGGTGGAAGGACGACAAGCCACCTACCGGACGCATCGGCAGCGGCATTGGGGAGTACCCCCGGAAACTTAGTGATGATCAAGAGAAGCTGTTCCAGCAAGAAGTGGACTCCTGGATCAGCAACGAATGGCTCGTCGAGCATGACGAAGAGGTACACGGAGCTCCTGCTGCAATTCTACCATGGCTTGCGGTCAGCCAGGAGCACAAGCCTACTACACCTGTTAGGTCTTGCCTCGATTACCGTGCGCTGAACCGTGCCCTCGTGTCTCAGCCCGGTATGGATGCCTCCGTGTCTGGCGAGAAGTTGCGTGAGTGGCGTACGCACGATGCCAACGAGTATGAGATGTTGGATATTCGAAAGGCCTATCTGCAAGTCCGTATGTCACCTGAGTTGCTACGGTATCAGTGCGTGAAATGGAGGGGAAAGCTGTACGTGATGACCCGCATGGCTTTCGGGTTAAGCGTTGCACCGAAGTTCATGGACGTGATAGTCAAGTGGTGCACGCGCGATCACGATGGTGTTGACAATTACGTTGACGATCTGTACGTCCTGAAACCGCAGACAAAGGCTGTTGCGGATACCCTCGAGCGCTATGGCCTGCGCACGAAGCCAGCTGAGCCCGCCAGTTCCGCACGAGTACTCGGACTTCAGCTGTTTACGGGCCAATATGGTCAAACCCGTTGGAAGCGTCGAGACGGAGTGAGTCTCGAGTGTGGCAAGCTGACCAAGCGTGGTGTATTCTCGTGGTGCGGCCGACTGGTGTCGCACTATCCCGTGTGCTCGTGGCTACGACCTGCCTGCAGCTTTCTGAAGTGCCTAGCATGTCGTGATGGTGGTGGTTGGGATGATGACGTCCCCAATGATGTGGTAACCTGTTGTGCCGAACTAGCAAGTCGCGTCCAAGATGAGGATCCGGCCACAGGCGTGTGAAATGCGTCAGTGAACGAGCAGCAGCTCACCGTGTGGTGCGATGCGTCTGATGTCGCATATGGCATTGTTGCCGAAGTTGGTGGTGAAGTCATGGAGGACAAGTCTTGGCTTCGCGATGCCGACGAGAAGAAACATATCAACATCGCAGAAGTGGAAGCAGTAATCCGTGGGTTGTCGACGGCAGTCGAATGGAATGCCAGCAACATCCGTCTTGTCACTAATTCCAAGACCGTGTATGGCTGGGTGAAGTCGTGCCTGAACAATGAGCGGCGTGTCAAGGTGTCCGGTCTGAACGAAGTGTTGGTTCGCCGACGACTAAACATCATCGACGACATTGTCGCGACCGCGAAGCTGCCCGTCACCGTTGAGTGGGTACCGTCCCAGCAGAACAAGGCTGACAAGCTGACGCGTGTCCCAGATTTGTTCATCCGCTGCTGGAAGAAATCAGCCAAGCCAGATGTAGTTGCTGCCGTCTCTGCACCCCCGAAGATTGTGAGTGCTATTGTGTTACAGGACATTCTTGATGCGCAGAAGTCTGATCCTGTTGTTGTTAGTGTGATTGAGTCTGTGCGTCATGGTCGTGAGATTTCCGACCCGGTATTTAAGAAATTGAAGTCTCAGTTGTCTGTATCTGATGATGGTTACTTGTATCGTAGTGTGAAGGTACCGCCGAATGATGTGCGTGTTGTACCAGTTGTGTCTCAGTCATTGCAGCAGCGAGTGGTGTGTCGTGCCCATGCTGTGAGCGGTCATTCCAGTTGGGAGACCACATGGAAGCTGTTGCGTGCGAGTTGTTATTTTGCAAATATGGCTGTTGTTTGTCAGTCGTTGATTCAGTCGTGTGATGTGTGTGCTGCTGCTAATTCGAAGCGTGGGCCTGTTGCTGAGCCAACACGTCCGGTTATTCCATCTGGTCCATGGAATGTAGTACAGCTCGATACCCTGGAGTTGGGTCCGAATAGAAGCCACCGGTATCATTGTGTTCTTGTCTGTACCGATATGTTTACTAAGTGGGTCGAGGTTGTCCCATTGGTTCGCCATGATGGTCCGTCTGTAGCAGCTGCGTTTGTGGATGTATGTTCCCGCTGGGGTGCCCCAGCAGTTGTACGTTGTGACAATGGAACAGAATTTGTCAATCAGGTAGTTACGTCTTTGTATGATGCATTTGGTGTATAGGTGCGACATGGCGCAGTGCGTCATCCGCAGAGTCAAGGTGGTGTAGAGCGTTTTAACCGGACTTTGCTGACTTTAATTCGAAAGATTGTGCAAGAATCCGACGATTGGGTGTCTGCTTTGAATGTATTATTGTACTATTATCGTATTCGTCCCCACTCTGCGCTTGGTGTTTCCCCAAGTGAAGCCATGTGTGGCTGGGTTCCTCATGGCTTGATTGTGGACGATGAGCGTTGTGACATGTCCCCCAGTGCATGGGTTGATAGCTTGTGTAGTAAAGCGGCTGTTGTTCGAGACTACGTGGAAAGTGAGTTGTCCTCTGCTGATTTTGTTCAGCCTGTTGGGTGTGTGAACCCCTACAGTGTTGGTTCCACGGTGATGTTGCGGCAGGGAGATCGCCGCCAGAAGCGAACAGCGCCGTATGAGTCTGGATGGACAGTTGATAGTGTTGTGTCTCCATCAACTGTTGTAATTGTTCGTGACATTAATGGTCGACATTCTGTGAAGACTGTCAGTATTGATCTAATTAAGCCGTCAAGTGTGAGTGTGCCTGAGTATGATGATGCATGTGCTTCAAGTGATAGTGATTCTGATTCTGATGTGCCAGCCCAACCACTTCAAGTTGGTGGTCATCGTCTTCGCAACCGTGCTGGCCTCGTTCCTCCTGTTCGTTACCGTAGTTAACTGTTGACGTGATGTCACCAGGGGGAGGTGTGACAATATGACAATGTGTGTAGTGTGACGATACAATGTGTGTGTAGACATACATCACGATTATGTATTTGTTGTGGTGACATCTGTCATCAGTGTTTTTTGTTTTTTTTGTTTGATTCATAGCTCAGCGGTTAGAGCATCGCTGGCTACAAGCGATGGTCCCTGGTTCGAGTCCTGGTGGTGACAGTCAATTTTTTCTTCAGACTTTTCCCGTTTGTCCCTTTCCCTCAAAACCAGTCAATGTTTATTTAGAGTCAAAGAACAAACAGGCAAATTTGCCTAATTACATGATATCGACTAAAAAGGAGAATAAATTATAAAAGGCCAATGAAGGTAATGACACTGAGTAGAGTGGGTAGTAAAGTTTTACGTCATTGTAAAAGCCAGTTAGGCCAGTAAAGGAAATAATAATACAGCGGGCAGTGGCATTACTGAAAAGCAGCATGTGCTGGGAGGGATCGCATGAATCGGTGGTACTGTGGGATTTTCCTGATGTCGGGCTGGAGCCTGTTCCACAGTGATACACATTGGAATGAGGCAGAATGTGTGCCAGCGGATGTCTTAGTGACTGGAAATTTAAGTGCTCGATTTCCCTGACTACGTGTAGCACGGCCGGCATTAAGAGGACTGAACATATCGGTAAGCAATGTGCTGAATTTACCCTGAAGGCAGCGCCAAGTGTAGCCAAGAAGCTTGTGGCAGTACATAACTTCTAGCGAGTGCAATCGCAATTGGCAATACAGCGGCGCAGATGGGGATGCAAATGGAGCGTTGTAAACACAGCGGACTGCGTGCTTGAGTAGCCGCTCTAGGCGCTCGAGCTGATGTGAGGTGAGGCCAGCAGAGAAACAGTTGCTAGCATACAGGAAGTCAGGAAGGATCAGGGACTTCAGGTACGTGATGCGGCACGGGAGGGGCACGCAGCGCCTGTTTCTAAACAGGACAGCTATTTTACAGGCAGCACGCTTGGCGATCTGGTTGACCATTGTGGTCCACTTGAGATCTTGGTCCATGTGGACACCAAGATACTTTGCGGATTCTACTTGTGCCAGTTGAACTCCAGAGCACATAACGCTGACACGAGGATTCACAGAACGATGGGCAGGGATGTACAAAATCTGGGTTTTACTCTCGTTTAGTACCAGGTTCCTGCTGGCAAGCCATCTGGCCAGGTGTGTAACTGCAGAAGACATACTACGTTCCAGCTGATGTTTGTCCCTGCTACTAATATAGAGCATGATGTCATCTGCGAACTGAACTGTCTGCACACCATACGGTTGCACTTCAGCTGCCACACCACGGACATAGAGGACAAACAGCAGAGGACCAAGTACGGAACCCTGGGGCACACCACTGCTGGGCTGGAATACCTTGCTGTGCTGGTTCCCAATGACAACTCTTTGCTGCCGGTCACTTAAGTAGTCTGCCAGCCAATTCAGCGCACTTCCACCAACACCAATACTGAAGAGGTCGCGGATGAGGGTGCCATGTTGAACCTTGTCGAATGCCTTCGACATGTCAACAAAGGCGGCGCAAGTTGAGAGTCCGGAGTCTTTGGCATTGGCAAAGGACTCTGATGCCATCACAACAGCATCCTCTGTTGAGTGCTGTTTCCGGAATCCGAACTGGCAATCTGGGTAGAGGCTGTGGGTAGTCAAGAATTCAGTGAGTTGCGAATGTACGATGCGCTCAAGGATCTTTGAGATAATAGGCAACAGAGAAACAGGCCTGAAATTGGTGGCCTTAGTAGGGTCGCCGCTCTTGTACACAGGGGTGATATTTGCAAGTTTCATGGATAGTGGAAATCTCCCATCGAAAAGTGACTTGTTGAAGATGAGAGTTACTGATGGAGCTAAGAGGTCAGAGCATGCTGCTAGTACAAGAGCAGGTACGCCATCACTGCCCGTTGACTTTGTCGTATCTACACTGCTGAGCAACTTGCGTACACATGCGATGGATACTGGCTTGAAACAGCAGAGGTCAGTACTTGCATGCGGACCAGAGGGGATGGACAGCACCTTTGGGCGAGTCGCATCTGTGACGATGTCCGCAAACACTTGTCCGATGTCATCCGGGGGGCATTGAGGAGCAGTGTGGGTCCGTGTTCTGCCTGATACCTGGTTAATCACTCTTCATGTTTGTCTTGGCTGACCTTCCGCATTGGCAAACTGATCCTGATAGTAGCAGGCCTTGAGTCGTCGGTTAAGCTGGTTCACATCACGTCTGGCCTGGCGGAAAGCTTCATGGTCCACAGGGTTGCAGGTGCGTAGCCATTTGCGGTGGGCCCGGTTTCGACTAGATATTGTGGCCAGCAGGTTTGCATCCATCCAAGGAACATGTTTGCGTGTTTTGGTGCGGCGGGTCCTCAAAGGAGCATGTTTGTCTAGGATATCCAGGAAGTTCTGCAGCCATCGAGTCTACATCTCATCACACGATCCATCCAACGAGCACAAGTTTGCAGCCACGAGGTCATTGCGAAACATTTCCATGTTGATGCCTCGGAGGTGCCGAGTCTGCGGTTGAGCACTCTGGGGTGCACAGTCAGCAGTGGTTGCCAGGGTAGAGATGACAGCCGAATGGTCACTAAATGATACTGGGGAGACAATGGTTGGGGCTCTGCACAGCAACGTACTAAATACTAAGTCCAGGGTGGTTTGTGATCCCGTAATTCCGATTCTTGTGGCCTGACTCACACTTTGTGACAGTCCGAGGGTATTCGCGATGTCAGATAGATAGGAGAGTTGACCACTCTGGCAGCCATAGTCAACATTGAAGTCACCACAGATTATCACATCCTTTGGCTCCCTCATCGCACGAGTGAACGTCGCTTCCAGGGCCTGCCAGTAAGATACTCGCATATGAGTTGGCCGATACAGACAGGCAATGAGACAAGGCTTCGGCTGGGCCTTCACCTCTACCCAGCAGCACTCAATACCCTGTGTGGCAAGATCTGGCCGGGGGTGGCATTTCAGCCCGACATCAGTGTATATACACACACCACCACCCAAGTTCCCGCAACGGTCTAGGCGATGTAGGGTGTAACCTGGTATGGACATTTCTGCTGTTGTAATGGTACCATTGAGCCAAGTTTCTGAGACAGCTATTACATTGGG